GGTGGTGGCCAGGAACCTTCTCACTCCCAAAGATAACAGACTACTTTCCAAACGGTCTGATGAGTTAGCTGTTAAGGATTCGCTGGCTCTCAGTGTTCAGTGTGCAGGTTCTGTGTCTAATATGGCCCAACGCCTATTTGCTCGAACCCGCCAAGTTGAATCCTTGGCGGCTGAAGTGATGAGTCTCAAACAGGAGATTAGAGGGCTCAAGCATGAGAATAAACAGTTGCACCGGCTCGCACATGACTATGCTACAAACATGAAGAGGAAGCTTGACCAGATGAAGGAAACTGATGGTCAGGTTTTACTTGATCATCAGAGATTTGTGGGTTTGTTCCAAAGGCATTTATTGCCTTCGTCTTCTGGGGCTGTACCGCGTAATGAAGCTCCGAATGATCAACCTCTGATGCCTCCTCCTTCTAGGGTTCAGTCCAGTACTGAGGCTCCAAATGATCCCCCTCCGGTGCCTTCTCTTTTCTGGGGCTCTACCGACTGCTGAGACTTCTCCTAAGCAACCTTTGTGAAGGCTCCGTCTTGTGTGTTTATTTTGACTCATGTATATGTACATATTTGTAGCTGATCGGGGATATCAATAAATAAGCTTTCCTTCATTTCAACGTATTGTGTTAAATACACCAAAGCCTTCTTCGCTAAGTTCTTTGAATTTTCTTTTGTTGAAGCTTGTATGTTGAAGCTTTCTGAGTGGAGCATGTAGGTTGGGGTAGTGTTCCCTTAATTTCCCCGAGTGAGGAAAACTTCTCGATTGGAGACTTGGAAAATCCAAGTCACTGAGTGGGATCGGCTATATATGAATCTTAGAACGCCATTGTGCTCGATCCTGTGTCATGTCCTCCGTTAGATCCAAGTACTCTAAGTCTTTTCTTAGAGTCTCTTCCAAAGTTTTCCTAGGTCTTCCTCTACCCCTTCGGCCCTGAACCTCTGTCCCATAGTCGCATCTTCTAATCGGAGCGTCAGTAGGCCTTCTTTGCACATGTCCAAACCACCGTAACCGATTTTCTCTCATCTTTCCTTCAATTTCGGCTACTCCTACTTTACCCCGGATATCCTCATTCCTAATCTTATCCTTTCTCGTGTGCCCACACATCCAACGAAGCATCCTCATCTCCGCTACACCCATTTTGTGTACGTGTTGATGTTTCACCGCCCAACATTCTGTGCCATACAGCATCGCCGGCCTTATTGCCGTCCTATAAAATTTTTCCCTTGAGCTTCAATGGCATACGGCGGTCACACAACACACCGGATGCACTCTTCCACTTCATCCATCCAGCTTGTATTCTATGGTTGAGATCTCCATCTAATTCTCCGTTCTTTTGCAAGATAGATCCTAGGTAACGAAAACGGTCGCTTTTTTGGTATTTTCTTGATCTCCGATCCTCACCCCTAACTCGTTTTGGCCTCCATTTGCACTGAACTTGCACTCCATATATTCTGTCTTTGATCGGCTTAGGCGAAGACCTTTAGATTCCAACACTTCTCTCCAAAGGTTAAGCTTTGCATTTACCCCTTCCTGAGTTTCATCTATCAACACTATATCGTCTGCGAAAAGCATACACCAAGGAATATCATCTTGAATATGTCCTGTTAACTCATCCATTACCAACGCAAAAAGGTAAGGACTTAAGGATGAGCCTTGATGTAATCCTACAGTTATGGGGAAGCTTTCGGTTTGTCCTTCATGAGTTCTTACGGCAGTCTTTGCTCCTTCATACATATCCTTTATAGCTTGGATATATGCTACTCGTACTCCTTTCTTCTCTAAAATCCTCCAAAGAATGTCTCTTGGGACCCTATCATACGCTTTTTCCAAATCTATAAAGACCATGTGTAAATCCTTTTTCCCATCTCTATATCTTTCCATCAATCTTCGTAAGAGATAGATTGCCTCCATGGTTGAGCGCCCCTGGCATGAACCCGAATTGGTTGTCCGAAACCCGTGTCTCTTGCCTCAATCTATGCTCAATGACTCTCTCCCAGAGCTTCATTGTATGACTCATTAGCTTAATACCCCTATAGTTCATGCAATTTTGTACGTCGCCCTTGTTCTTGTAGATAGGCACCAAAGTGCTCGTTCGCCACTCATTTGGCATCTTCTTCGTTTTCAAAATCCTATTGAAAAGGTCAGTGAGCCATGTTATACCTGTCTCTCCCAAAAGTTTCCACACTTCGATTGGTATATTGTCTGGGCCTATTGCTTTTTTATGCTTCATCTTCTTCAAAGCTACAACCACTTCTTCCTTCCGGATTCGACGATAAAAAGAGTAGTTTCTACACTCTTCTGAGTTACTTAACTCCCCTAAAGAATCACTCATTTCATGTCCTTCATTGAAAAGATTATGAAAATAACCTCTCCATCTGTCTTTAACCGCGTTCTCTGTAGCCAGAACCTTTCCATCCTCATCCTTGATGCACCTCACTTGGTTTAGGTCCCTTGTCTTCTTTTCCCTTGCTCTAGATAGTTTATAGATATCCAACTCTCCTTCTTATTCACAGTTTTTCAAAAATATTACATGCATACCAACGTATACAAAATAAAGTTATCGAGGGTTGATGAATTGACCGTAATTAGCATGCCCTTTGTCTATATGGAGTGTTCTTTTTACAAAATGGATTATCTGGTGGTTTTGTCACGACAATTCATTTTTTTTTTGTCATAAAGACTCACTGAGGCGTATTAACTTTTCATGTGATTTACTAGCGTAAAAAATTAAACTCAGAACGTGCCGTGTGGAATACGAGCTTAAAAGTCCCAACTACTGAACCACCCTGTAGTGGTTTATGGAGTGTTGAATATACATTAAAACAACTTATAAATATAGTAATGTTACGATGATTAAGTTTAGTGCATGAGTGCATGCATGGTTTCCACGTAGTGGCCAACTTTGGTATATTACGATTCATGGGTGTCATAAATTATTTTATCGTGTGTTTATATATATCTCTGAATTAATGATTTTGTAGTATCATTATATTGGTGCAAAATAAATAGAAACTCTTTCATCTTTTTTCCAACTTGAAGCTGAATACTAATATAAAGCTTCGTAATTATTCTTTAAAAATGTACAATGTTTACTGGTGTGAAAAAGAACTCGAACACGAGATCGGATTTTCAATATTTTCTTCTAATTTTTTTTTTAAAGATTCACAAATCGCAGCATTGGCATTGGCCGTAATTGGGTTTATTTTGTGATGTTAAAAACTCATAAGAACTGTTTTTACATAATTTTAATTATTCAACTAAGTTTTTTTTTTTTAAATCAAAGATTTTGTTTTTGTTTTATCAAAGATTAAACTAAGTTATAAAAATATGAATTCATCACCTTGGAAGGAAATTAAACATAAAATCTCGTACGCAGGCTCCATATTTTTTTTTTTGAACAAACAATATCATTTACACTAAGGGGGAGGGGATCAGCTTAACCTCATAATGGGCCAGCAATAATGTAGTTCAATCAGTCTTTGGCGAGAATATAACCTAAAAAGCTCTCTCTTACAAATGAAGAAGAATACCACTAGACTGTAGTACTAAGTGATTTCCCATATTTGTACCAGTTTAGTTTTTATTTAAGATTAAACTACACAAATACAGATTACCATAATCGAGTAAGATTTGATGAGCTGATTTATTTCAAATATACGCTTATGTTTTTCTCTATTTAAATTGAATATAACAATTTATTTTCCTCCGTTGGGTTCACATTTTACACAATTCGAATTTCTGACCATAAAGCCCAGCCCAATGTTCCAAAGTTGGCACCACAAGTGTTTCTTCTTTAACGGAAGAAATTCGCAGGCCCATAAAATTCTTAGCTTTTGAAAATAATCACGTGGTCCCACTCACAGCGATCCATATTTTTTTGAGAACTTTAACGTAAAACTCCTGATACTATTTATTTTTAACGAAAAATCATATTTTTACACTAAAAAAATCAATCATGGTACTATTCACTTTACCTTTTATTTTGTACTTATCGTTAAAACTTAAAGTTTTCAAGCTATTTTTGTTTAGTTTTCCTTATTTTTTTTCTTGGTCAAAAGTCAAACAAAAATGTTATTCTTATCATCTAGTTGCACTATCTTTCTAATACAGATGGGATCCACATGCGTTGGCGGCCCTATCTCTATTAGGAAGATGATACAATTAGGCGGTAAGTGTAGCATTACTCAAAGCCAAAACCCTTTGTCATATCTGAACCAAAAAATTTATAATGACTAATGCTATAGAGATCATCTATTTAATTATATTTTGTTCTATATGACATGATTTTTTATTAACATATTATTTTCTATGGGTGACATATTACATGATTTACAAATTTTGGTCTAAAAGGTTAGTTTACCTAGCATTACTCTTTCATAAAATATTTGCTTATACTATTTTCAGGTATTAATATCTATGACTCGTTTGGAAGTGTTTTCAAAATAATTGAAAAACAATTTTGATGAGTGTTTTTTTGAATCAATCATTAGTAAAAATGTAAGTCAATTATGAAAAAAAAGCGCTTAAGTATTTTATGCTAGAAGCACCAATTATGTATTTCTTTATATTTATATATATATGTTCGTGTATATGTCCATGCAAGCAGAATGAACTGAGATATCTACATTCGGTTATATGTTAATTCATGATGGTGGGTATTGGGTAAGAATTAGATGAAAACGTACGTTTGCATGTGCATTTTATTGATCGATTTGGTTGGTTGTTGAGAAAAATATGATAGACAAATAATTACAAACATTTATTTTGATAGGTTTGAGTGCATTGTATTTTCCATTTTCCACAAACATGTATTGTATTAATTAGGGTTTAATGTGTTGGTTGTTTCACTGAATTTGTATTTTCAATTTTTGGTCAAAATCGGCATTTTTATTCATTAAAATTTGTGGTAATTAATGTAATTATTATTGCAAGTGGGATTTCAGAACTAAAGTGTGTCGTTTTAGTGGTTATAAAATGTACCCTGGCAAGGGCATAAGATATGTTCAATCTGATTCCCAGGTAAAAACCATACTCAAGGTCCATAGTGGGAGCTACATTGGAGATCGATCATATATAAAAGAAGAAGTGAGAAACCTGAGGTTCGAGATGCTACTTTTAGGTAGGTATATGTTTTCCATGTTAAATTATTTCATCATTAATCAATTTTATAAACAACGCTAGGCTTAATTAAGAAGAAATGATTAGTAGTTTATAATTATATATATACACTTCATCATGTGTGCATTGTGCAGTGAGATTAAGGAGAGGATTAAGGAAACCAAGGACGAAAAGAATGCAAAGAAGGTAGAAGCAAAGGCTAAGAGTCACAAAAGTCTCAAGGCAAAGGGAACTTGCCAAAGGGTGCTGGACCCAAGGGCCCCAAGGCTGTGGTGGTAGTCGGGCCAAGGGCAAGCGCTGAACATGATCATCTCTCAGATTCTGCTCATTTTTTTTGTGAGTGGGTCGATGATTGATAATTGATTGTCCTGGATGTAATCTGGTTTGTTCTTTCATCGAACTTTTATCTTTGTTGCAGCTGAGTAAGTAAATAAAGGAGGAGTGGCAATTTGTCTGCATTTTAAATTTTTTAGCAGTGAGTTAAAAAATGGATTCGCTTAAGAATGTCGAATAACATGAAAGCCCTTCTCTTGATTTTAAGATTTGTCGATCTGAAAGTATCCCAAGTAACGTGAAAGTTCTTCTTATGCTTGAAAATTGTTTATCTTTGCAATGATTTAAAGGGTAAAAGTAAAAGTAAAAGTTGATCTACAATGATTGGCATGCTTGCAAAAGTAAAATCAGTTGGTGATTAGTGTTTCGATCTTAGGCTTAGGGTTTCTTTTGTTGTGGACCCTTTTTACAGAAGTCTGTGGAAGAATCAAGAGGGACAGGAAGAAATTTCCCAACTGTAGGTACAAAATGTGATGATGGTAAGGGGGGAAGTAGGGTATACATAAGTAAGCAAAGCAACAAAAGAACCTCAGACCAACCCAACAAACTCCACCAGCACATCATTCTGATCGACCAACACAAAAGAAATGGTTAGCAGGATTCCTGCAGATTGATGTGCCTGTTTCATCTTCCATCGTATGCTCTCGTTTTTAACAATCCTATTCTAATCGAGTTACTAAGATAACAATACTATTCAAGATTTTTTTGATATATTATCGAGTTACTACAATAATAACTATTAAAAAACTTTTTCCTAATATATAACATAAATATACTCGTACGTCATGAAACGAAAAGAGGAATCATGCAGCACTAGGTGGGGAATAAAGTGAAAAACTTTAGAACCAGCTAATTATAATGGTTTGATGAGATCATTTTCCAAGATAGAGCATATATATAAGTTATAAATGGTAGGAAAATCATGAAACAACAAACAAGATTACTTTCTTTCCACAAATTTAGAGCATAAACTAATGTTTCAGACAAATATAAACAAAAGGTCAAAGAGCTTGAGAAAATAATTTAGTCTTTTTCCAGAGTTGAAATTCTCTCCTGATCACATTGTTCAGAGTCTAAAGACCAGCATATCCGGGCCATTCAAATTGAATTCGAAGGCCATTAACTCATTTTATTGGCCCACCTCACATAAATCAAGATTCCGATTTCTCTATTAAATTTTTACTTGGAATTGGACCCCTGGAGGTATATACCGTGTTCCTTTCCAGTTAAAAACGTGTGTACAAGCAATCCATCGCATTTAAAAGCAAAAAGTAGTCACTCAATATTATGGTCTAGTTGTATTTATCTTCACTTAGAAATGAGAGGTCTTAGATACAAATCATGTGTGGATAGCGAATTTGATACCAAATTAGACTGTCCATTGTGTGGTTTTGCTGATATTTTCCTCCCTATAATGTAAAAATATCAATGTATAAAAAAAAAATTAAAAAAAAAAGCAAAAGAGTATTCTGCGTCCGTTTCTTTTTTATATGAAAAAGCAAAACGAAACGGTCGGTGGAAAACGAGTCCACAGTTGCATGGTTTCAACACCCAACACAACCAATCAATTTAAGCCACGTCAATACCTTTCCAATTCACCGGTGACGATATCAACGTGAGAGGGCACGTGACTATTGACGTGGAGACCACCGATTGACCCCGAAACAGAGCTCAACAGCTTATGTAACAGTAACACCCAACGATGGAGACTGCAGCAGTTTGATACCAGAAAATGGCGAGCCCACCATTTTCTTCCACTCTCCCACTCCATTAAAACACCTTCCCACCAACTCCATTAAAATCCCAGTTCCCAGAGAGTTTCAGAGAACAAAAAACCACCATTTTTTGTCGCAAAAAAACCAAACAAAATGCCTGCAGCTTGTGAAGATGTGGAAAACAGGCGAGCGAAAAACAGAGCAAGACAGCAGAGGCTACTCGTCGTCCTCGTACGGGGTCGATGATTCGGAAGCCCAGTGGACTTCTTGGTTGGTGCCAATGATTGTTGTCGCCAATATTGGAGTGTTTCTGTTGGTCATGTACGTCAATAACTGTCCCAAGAACAATTATGTGGCCGCGGAGGGGAAGTGCACGGCGAGGTTTCTCGGGCGGTTGTCGTTTCAGCCTCTGAAGGAGAACCCTCTATTCGGCCCTTCTTCCTCCACGTAATTTTACTTTCTCTGGTTTTCTAATTTAGTAAATTCTTACCCACTTTCGAATTTTCTGTTTTTTGTCCGTTGGTGTTTCTGTTTTGGTGGTTGAAATTCTGGTATTTGCTCTTTTGAATCCACTTGAATTTTTGGTGATCAAATTTTGAATTTTTTGTGGCAATAAATTAGCTGGATTGGAAGAACAGCTTGTCAGCTTGAGAAACCTTTTGAGCATCTGGGGCATTTTTTAATTGATTTTTTGGTGAAAATTGGGATCGTTACAAAGGGAGTTGCTATTAACACTAATGTTGTCAGAAGTTTTTGGCTCTTCCAATAGAATTGACATCCTCTGTGGATCTCTTGTCCGGTGTCAACGGATTCGGAGATCCGGAGCACTTATTTTAAATAATGCGGTCTTCATGAGTCTATTCTACTGACCACTCCACACAAACTAAGAATCCGGGTCTCTCTCTCTTTTCAGTGGCCCGAATCTCCAGGTTCTTTGGCTCCAAACTCCTTCCAATGGAGTTACTGACTAAGTTGCACATATTTCTAGAGCTTATTAGGTCTGTCTTGAATTTAATTTCATGGAACCAATTTACCTTATTATATATCTAATACATGATCTGTCTTACTTTTAAATGAAGATTAGAGAAGTTAGGGGCTTTGGAGTGGACCAAAGTTGTGCATAAGCATCAGGGATGGAGGCTGGTCACTTGCATTTGGTTGCATGCTGGCATAATCCACCTGGTTGCTAACATGCTCAGCCTTGTCTTCATCGGAATCCGCCTTGAGCAGCAATTCGGATTTGGTATGGCTCGTTTGGGAGTGTTTCTGTATAAGTGAATTACTTGCCTTATCAATTACTTGATCCTATATAATCTTAATTTGGCAGTAAGAGTTGGAATTATATATCTGCTGTGTGGATTTGGAGGGAGCATACTTTCCTCGCTTTTTATTCGAAAGAACATCTCCGTTGGTGCCTCTGGTGCTCTTTTCGGGTTTCTAGGAGCAATGCTTTCAGAACTAATTACAAATTGGACCATCTACACCAACAAGGTTTATATGGCCCTGATATTGAATAAGAACGGAAATTGTTATTAACACCTCAAAATAGTCTTGACGTTTAACTTTCATGTTTGCTAATTTACTGTATTTTGCTTTTGCTTCCGCAGGTTGCAGCCCTTTTCACACTTTTAATCATCGTTGTTATAAACCTTGCCGTTGGAATTTTACCACACGTAGATAACTTTGCTCACATTGGCGGTTTTCTTACGGGTTTCCTCATCGGCTTTATCTTGATGGCCCGCCCTCGCTTTGGGTGGTTGGAGAACCCGAATCTTCCTGCCGGAGTCAGTGTCGTCAAGTCCAAGTACAAGGGATACCAATATGTGCTATGGATACTCTCTCTCGTTCTGCTCATCGTCGGATTCACATTTGCATTGTTGATGCTCCACCGCGGAGAGAACGGAAATGACCGTTGCCATTGGTGTCACTACCTCAGCTGTGTTCCCACATCTAGATGGCATTGTGAAGAAAATTAACACCGTTATGTAAATTTTAGTTGTTGTTGTTATTTTTTTTTTTGAAGGGGGAATTCAGTACAATATTCATTAATAGTAGTTAAAACGTACAAAACTGAATAAGTCCTCGTTTGGCATACTGTATAGAACACCGGATAGTATTATATAATACGAAACAGATGTTTGGAGAACTTTTGTACTAATTAAGCATCGGACCATTAATCTAGCCCCACCTATTTTATCTCCCTTACACCCACTTGTTTATCCCATCTAAAACCTTGGTATTATTTAGTCGGGTTCACGTTAATAAAAATGTGCTGGCTTTTCTCCAAGCTATCTCACCATCTGCCCTGCACATCGCTAACTCTTTCTCATGGTATTCTTTCTCCCTCTTTCACCATCCACACTTCTGATCAACATCAAGCCGATTTTAACGGAAAACCAGAGGTGGCAGATCAAACTCAAATCACGCCGTTCTTGTTCTGGAGAGACATTATCTGTTTTTTTGGCTTAACTGTTCCTAGATTTTGTTGATATGTGGTGATTAAACTCAAAATTGGGCGAGATTTCATCTGGGTTTTTTATTTTAATGGATTAGAAACTCAAATTGGGGGGGGGGGATTTCATCTGGGTATTTTTAATTCAATGGATTAGAAACTCAAAATTGGGTTTTTTATCCGACGACTATTTATCTTATTCGACTGAAATAGTCAGTACAGTCCGAGGAGCCAAACGAGGTCTAAGGATGCATAACATGGGCCTCGTTAAAAACCTTGCCAAGAAAAAATTTAGTTGTTCTAGAAAGTAAAAAACTGATTTTCTGCGTACAATGTATTTGTTGTGGATTTGGACATTCATTTTTATTTTTTTCATATGGTCCTGTTTGTAATTGCAATTTGTCTTTATTAAATTGTTCTGCATTAATATTTCTAAATGTTAGTATAACAATCACAAAGCTCCATTTTGGTTTGAATTTTGATTACCTAGAAATTGAGGGGGTAGGACGGAGAAGGACTTAAGCCAAAACGAAGCTGTGTGATATTGCATGTAGCCGTTCTGGATGGCAAGATCTTTAGAGTGTTATACATGTGTCAAACTTTCACTACGGAGATCCGTAGAAATTCTAATACCAAATACAGAGGAGCAAAAAATTTGCAGTTAAAAAAAAATTGATCTGAAAAAATGTCAAAAATATATTGAAATTTGAAATGGCTTCGCCCGGGTTCGAACCGGAGACCTTCAGTGTGTTAGACTGACGTGATAACCAACTACACCACGAAACCATGTTGTCAATAATCCTCTAACATTATAATTTTACCTGATCTCGGTTTAATTGTTTGACTTTATTTCTTTGGTCAACAGTTGCATGGCTCATTCAAAATTCATGAACATCCACACGTTCTTTATTTTACACCAACCCAACGTTCACATCAATATAAAAACACACATGATGATTTTGGCAAGTTGCTCTGAAGGCCTTGGAGTCACCGGAGAGGGCTGTTCCACATAGGTCGGGTGAGGACACTCGATTTCGGCCTACATATACATCAATAAATGAATTACGAAGACAAATTAACATCCACTCAAAAAACAGAAAATAAGACACCCTCACCAAGATGGTACCAAACAATATCGGACACTTTTTGGATCCACATGTTAAAATTTCGATCGGAAACGGGAAAGTTACTCGACCTGCACCTTTTTTCGGGAAGAAAAGTAACAAAGCCTTATTACCATAAAATTCGACTTTTCGCCGGAAAACGTAATCAGAATTCGATTGGACCCAAACCCTGTAAAAAAGAAAATTCAAGAAAGGTACTCGATAACTCAGAATTTGAAGACAGAGGGGTCATTTTTTTGAGGAGTTGGAGAGGCACATTTTCCATATGTGGTGGAGCCCTAGTGACAACGTCTGAGCCACTAGCAGCCGTAATGGGCAACCGAAAGTCATACGCCGGAGCTGCCAAATCGCCCTCCCCCAACAGGGTTACGACTCCGATTCCTGGAAATACGACTTCCATTCTACCTTCGCCTGGAAATACAAAGCCTGGTACGGTCGCCAATTGCTTAGACGTTATCACTAGGGCTCAGGCACAACCCATCATAAGGACACTAGAAAACGTGCTGGAGTTACCGCTCACATCTGAAAGGACGACCGTGTCGACTTTCGAGGTATCGACTACTTTCTTGAACTCTTTATTTGACATCAAGGGTTTTTTTTTCTTTCTAATTTATTAACTTTTAAGAGTTTGCGAAGGGGTTTTGGGTCAAATTATTTGATAATAGGGGGCTATTTTCTAAATAGTTTGTTGTGCGAATTAACACAACTTAACGATAGGCTTTTTACTTTCTTTTAGAAAAAAGGTACGATTCTACAACTTTCCATAATGTTACGCCCAAGGGCTCAACCTCCGGATCGTATCCCAAAATTTTTCAGTATGCATTGCCCAATACGGCCGCTAGTGGCTCAGACGTTGTCACTAGGGCTCCATCACATATGGAAAACGTGCCTCTCCAACTCCTCAAAAAAACGACCCCTCTGTCTTCAAATTCTGAGGTGTCGAGTACCTTTCTTGAATTTTCTTTTTTTACAGGGTTTGGGTCTAATCGAATTTTGATTATGTTTTATGGCGAAAAGTCAAATTTTATGGTAATAAGGCTTTGTCACTTTTTGGATCCGCAGATTGAAATTTCGGTCGCAAACGGGAAAGTTACTCAACCCGCATCTTTTTTCTGGAAGAAAAGTAACAAAGCCTTATTACCATAAAATTTGACTTTTCGCCGGAAAACGTAATCAGAATTCGATTGGACCCAAACCCTTTCAAAAAGAAAATTCAAGAAAGGTATTCGATACCTCAGAATTTGAAGACAGATGGGTCGTTTTTTCGAGGAGTTGGAGAGGCACGTTTTCCAGATGTGGTGGAGCCCTAGTGACAGCGTCTGAGCCACTGGCGGGCGTATTGGGCAATGCATATTGAAAAATTTTGGGATATGATCCGGAGGTTAAGCCCTCGATCGTAACATTGTGGAAAGTTGTAGAATTGTACCTTTTTTTCTGAAAGAAAGTAAAAAGCCTATCGTTAAGCCATGTTAATTCGCACAACAAACTATTTAGAAAATAGCGCCCCCTATTATCAAATAATTTGACCCAAAACCCCTTCGCAAACTCTTAAAAGTTAATAAATTAGAAAGAAAAAAACCCTTGATGTAAAATCAAGAGTTCAAGAAAGTAGTCGATACCTTGGAAGTCGACACGGTTGTCTTTTCAGATGTGACCGGTAACTCCAGCACGTTTTCTAGTGTCCTTACGATGGGTTGTGCTTGAGCCCTAGTGACAGCGTTTGAGCAACTGGCAACCGTACCGGGCTTTGTATTTCCAGGCGAAGGCAAAATGGAAGTCGTATTTCCAGGAATCGGAGTCGTAACCCTGTTGGGGAGGGCGATTTGACAGCTTCGGCGTAGGACTTTCAGTTGCCCAATACGGTTGCTAGTGGCTCAGATGTTGTCACTAGGGCTCCACCACATATGGAAAACGTGCCTCTCCAACTCCTCAAAAAAACGACCCCTTTGTCTTCAAATTTTGAGGTATCGAGTACCTTTCTTGAATTTTCTTTTTAATAGGGTTTGGGTCCAATCGAATTCTGATTACGTTTTCCGACAAAAAGTCGAATTTTATGGTAATAAGGCTTTGTTACTTTTCTTCCAGAAAAAAGATGCGGGTCGAGTAACTTTCCCGTTTCCGATCGAAATTTCAACCTGCAGATCCAAAAAGTGTCTGATATTGTTTGGTATCATCTTGGTAAGGGTGTCTTATTTTCTGTTTTTTGAGTAGGATGCTAATTTGTCTTCGTAATTCATTTATTGAGGTATATATGTAGGCCGTAATTCATTTATTGAGGTATATGTAGGCCGAAATTGAGTGTCCTCACCCGACCTATGTGGGACAGCCCTCTTCGGTTGTCGTTTCAGTCTTTGAAGGAGAACCCTCTATTCGGCCCTTCTTCCTCCACGTAATTTTACTTTCTCTGGTTTTCTAATTTAGTAAATTCTTACCCACTTTCCAATTTTCTGTTTTTTGTCTGTTGGTGTTTCTGTTTTGGTGGTTGAAATTCTGGTATTTGCTCTTTTGGATCCACTTGAACTTTTGGTGATCAAATTTTGAATTTTTTGTGGCAATAAATTAGATTCAATGTTGAGAATCCCCTACAGTATGCAAAATTCTTCAAGGGTTGTCTCAAGTTTTAGCAAATTGTATATAAGGTCAAGGTTCTTTTTATTATTTGGTCTCAAATTAGTAGCCATTGGATGCTCAACCTAGAGCTTGTGAAAGCCAACGGATACAAGATTTCAAGTATAAAAAAATGTCAGTTTCTTACAACATGCATATTAATACTAATGTTGTCAGAAGTTTTTGGCTCGTCCAATAGAATTGAGATCCTCTGTGGATCTCTTGTCCGGTGTCAACGAATTCGAAGATCCGGAACACTTATTTTAAATAATGCGGTCTTCATGAGTTTATTCTACTGACCACCTTACACAAACTAAGAGTCCGGATCTCTCTCTCTCTTTTCAGTGGCCCGAATCCCCAGGTCCATTGGCTCTAGACTCCTTTCAATGGAGTTACTGAATAAGTTGCACATATTTCTAGAGCTTATCAGGTCTGTCTTGAATTTAATTTCATGGAACCAATTTTTTTCTGTTATGTTTTCGGTTAAGCTACCTTATTATATATCTAATACATGGTCTGTCTTACACTTGATCCTATATAATCTTAATTTGGCAGTAAGAGTTGGAATTATATCTGCTGTGTGGATTTGGAGGGAGCATACTTTCCTCGCTTTTTATTCGAAAGAACATCTCCGTTGGTGCCTCTGGTGCTCTTTTCGGGTTTCTAGGAGCAATGCTTTCAGAACTAATTACAAATTGGACCATCTACACCAACAAGGTTTATATGGCCTTGATATTGAATAAGAAAGGAAATTGTTATTAGCACTTTAAAATAGTCTTGACGTTTAACTTTCATGTTCGCTAATTTACTGTATTTCGCTTTTGCTTCCGCAGGTTGCAGCCCTTCTCACACTTTTAATCATTGTTGTCATAAACCTTGCCGTTGGAATTTTACCACACGTAGATAACTTTGCTCACATTGGCGGTTTTCTTACGGGTTTCCTCATCGGCTTTATCTTGATGGCCCGCCCTCGCTTTGGGTGGTTGGAGAACCCGAATCTTCCTGCCGGAGTCAGTTATGTAAATTTAACTTTTTTTTTTTTTGTGAATTACGTACAATATTCATTAATAGTAGTTGAAAACGTACAAAATTGAATAAGGGTCCATAACATGGGCTTTGATAAAAACCTTGCCGAAAAAAATTTTAGTTGTTTTAGAAAGTGAGAAACTGATTTTCTACATACAATGTATTTGTTGTGGATTGGGACATTCAATTTTTTTTTTTCTTTTCATATGTCCCTGTTTGTAATTGCAATTTGTCTTCATTAAATTGTTCTGAATTAATATTTCTAAATGTTAGTATAACAATCACAGAGCTCCTTTTTGGTTTGAATTTTGATTACCTAGAAATTGAGGGGGTTGGGGCAGAGAAGGACTCAGACCAAAACGAAGCTCTGTGATATTGCATGTAGCCGTTATGGATGCCAATGATCTTTAGAGTGTTGTACACGTGTCAAACTTTCATTACGGAGATCCGGAGAAATTCTAATACCAAATATAGAGGAGCAAAAAATTTGCAGTTAAAAAAAAAATGTTCTGAAAAAATGCCAAAAATATATTGAAATGGCTTCGCCCGGGTTCGAACCGGAGACCTTCAGTGTGTTAGACTGACGTGATAACCAACTACACCACGAAACCATGTTATCAACAATCCTCTAACATTCTGATTTTACCTGATCCCGGTTTAATTGTTTGACTTTTTTTTTGGTCAACAGTTGTATGGCTCATTCAAAATTCATGAAGATCCACACGTTCTTTATTTTACACCAATCCAACGTTCACATCAATATAAAAACACACATGATGCTTTTGGCTACTTCAAACCTAGTGGAGTGTGGTGTACGTTGATGGAATTGTGCAAAATGGGAGGCCAAAAATCGATGATGATCTGGGCGACGTTAACTTTGTTGTTTCCTTCAGGTTCCGCTTGGTACGTGGGATGGGACGGAACGGAGTAGGACTAGTCGTTCCGTCCCACGTTTGATGCACCTAAAACGGATAGAAAGCACTGTTCCACGGGACGAATTTTGGGTGAATTTTTGTTCCGCCTCACCCCCCTGGAACGACTCGTTCCAAATCCGTGGAACACAAAATTATAACATTTGCATCTCCTTCTTCGTCCTCCTTGTTTCCAACCGAGGGCATCTTTACTCCCTCTCCGTTCTGTCCCGTCCCATTCCGTTCTGTCCCGTCCCGTCTGCATACCAAACGATACCTCAATGATATTGAAGTCTAGCACAGAATAATGCACCTCCATGACGTGACTGGTTGCCATGTGCTACACGTTCATCACCTACGGGATGCCGGACCCCGTTTTTGGGGGTCTCCGTGCTGCAATGCTATGGCCAGTCTCAAGGTTATTGCTGACACCATTGAAAATCGGAGATTTGCATGTAGATGCTTGATGGCCCTCATCGCGACTTACAACCCAAATGTGCCTATGTCATCTCCACTTTGCCTAAGTAATTTGGTTGAGATGCCGCCGTCATGATATCCGGTGTATGCAAGTTTCTCTCCGAATTGTCGTTTATGATTTTGATTTGTGATGGATGCCTAATGATGTATACATGATGGTGCATCATACTATGAGTCACAAATTTGCACTGAGTCGGTTTTGAAAACTATATAAGTGGAAGACCAAAATAAAGAGTCGGGATTCAACTGCAGAGGAGGGAGCTAGGTTCGACTTTTAGGGTGTCAAAGGAACACTTCTCCGTCACGGGGATATATCTGCACTCTCTCTACCTATCACGTGATGAGTGACAGAGTGAGATGAGGAAAGCGGGATATATCCCCGATGTAAGTTATTCTTTGGTGCAAGACAACCAATTGGTATGAGAAAATAAAAAGGAAATTATTCTAAAGGCTCAAGTGGTCTTACAAGCAATACTAGATTAAAAGTTTGATATGTATACAAGCACACAATCAAAATTACATCGTAATGGAGTTTGAATCCGTGAAGGTACAGTCGCAGTTTCGGAAGCTATGTTCATATTTTGACAACCATAGTGCCAGAGTTTGATGGTAAGAACAGTGTTTGTACATCTAAGGTCAAGTAATTAAACTCACAAACATCGCTACCATACAGAAATACATATATGGAAAAAGAAGACACGCAACATCACCGTGGATTGGAGCTTCCGACTCGATTCAGGCGGCTAGGGCTGAAAAAGGCTCTATTTCGGAGGTCACCATCCTCAGCAAAACTCGTATCTGAATAAGTTCCTGCATCCCAAAACTCCGGAACAGACTTCTTGGTCAAACCATATTTATCAAACTCAAGCCTTTGCCTAGGGGCACTTTGTGACCTGACCTTTGCGCGGAATGATTCCGTGTTAGCCATGTAGTTAGGGCAACCGGCATACCCATTAAAGAAACCCCACGAGCACTCACTCCTTGCCGGCGTGAAGGGATGACATCTTCTACCACTGGTTCCAGGTCTAGAGGAGGCAGAAAATGCTTGTGGGCTGTTCTCGGTGGTCCTAAAAGCTGCTTCATCCGTTGCCAAGGGATATTTCAGAGATGGCAGTGAAACAACATCGATAGGAGCTTGATTTCGATTGAAGTTTGATCCTTTTGTCGAGCGTTTTGATGGAGAGTCATATGTCATAAAGCTTGGGTTGTAATGATCTGAAGACAGAACGCGATGTGCTGTTTGAAAGGTCTGGGGTCTACGTTGGGACCCCAAGTGAGGCTTCCAAGTATCTACTTCAAGAACTTTGTCAACCTTCATATCATCTGAGTGCTCATATCTCAGTGAACCATCTCGGCGTGCACTTTCTTCCATCCACTGGTCTAACCAACCTGACGCCAGCCGTCTTCTGTCTACCTTTGAATTTGAACCGCATCTCTAAAAATAACGGCGTACAGTAATTTGATTAAATCCAAGTTTCATTTAAAGTTAAACAAATGAAATCGAGATAAACATCGAAGAAATAAAGTTCAACAATGTCTCAAGATTGAATTTCATTCACAAGGGTTGAATTTGATTGAAAGGAATCCCACAATTACATGTAAGTAATTGTAAAGTATCATACAAGGCCTGAATGAAATTCTACATTACACAGCAATTGAAGTAAATACCTGCAGTATCGAGGGCCCGTCAAATTTGCTGCTATATACGCGGTGCTGGTGTCCAATTTTGTCAGGGCTTTCTGGCAGCTGCAAGTAAACATCAAAGAAAATGAATACCAATTACGTCGCATTAAGCAAAGTTGGACTCGACATATAGTAATCAAAATCACTAAAACACTAGTGGCGGATTCATGATACATAGTATAAAGTCTGCTTACCGGGTGATACGATAGGAAGGATTTGCTGCTAGAATGTAGTGATTCAGACATGAGCGATCGAGTTGCGCGCGCTCGGGCTTGGACTCGAACCAGTGTCTGCATACGCCTGAGCATGTCTGCCGATTGCTTTCTCACAATGTGGCCTCTCACCAAAGCTTGAAGCTTCACTAGTGATTTGAGTGCTCTTAGGGCCCTTCTTGCCTTTTCACAGTGCCACAAAGTTTCGGGCAATCAGACCATCGATATTGCAGCGTACTACTAATTAACAAAATACAGTACACATCGAACGTATGAAACAATTTCTTAAGTTCTTAACCGTGACGTTATTTCCCGTGAATTTGAAAATTAGGTAGGACACTGACAACTCATCTCTAGCTTACAACTTATAGAAAGGGACAGGCTTGTGGATGAAATCATGATCTCACTAACAAGGATTCCCTACTAAATAATCAAACAAAAGAAAGAACAAGAATATTAAAAAAAACCATCAATCATCTGCGTAATATAAAGTCACATACTTGAGCATGTTTGAGACTGATTCTAAAAAGTATAATAACGTTTTTTACTACACTTGACATAAGAACTTAAGATTGCTTTCAGGTCCAACATTTCTCACAAAGGTGCTTATTAGCAGAAGTGATTTCTACGTAAACCGTCCCAAACGTCCCAAACGGGCTCTTAAGTAAAAGCATCCTATTGCAATTTCATCAAGTTAACCTATGCTACTTACTCTATTAATTAATCAAAGGTTAAGTTAAATAAAGAAGTGTGCTATCCACATATCTTTTTTACTTTTCCTTATGTTCTTTGATTTTTTTTTTAATTCATCCGATCTGACGATCGAAAATTAAAAGAATGTAAGAGAAGTAAAAAAGAGGATGGATATCATACCCCTAAATAAATCCCAACTTGATCAAATTCCCACTAGTCAGTTTGAATTTGAACGCAAGTGGAAAAAGGAAAGTATGGGAGCAGTTTTTCTTCAAGTGAAAGCCATCATCATACCACCAGAAAGGGAGAACATAGCCATCATATCAACAGAAAGGCTACAATGGGCCCACCAGCCTAGCTGGAATACCGTACCAAGGTTAAATTTCTACAAAATGACAGTTTTGTCCTTCCGCATGTAATCTGGCATTGGTAACAGGCAACGGCAGAATAGAATTGGGGCTCTTTCGGAAGGAGATATTTTTCCAGGAAGCCGGCATACGCAGTGGTATATCATAAGATATTATACAAGTAGATAAAGGTTTTTTTTTTTATTAAAATATCTCTTTATTTATATAATGATATATAACGTATATACTTATGTTTCGAGCATACTGTAAAATTTTTTGTTTGAAACTGCTTTTAAAATAGCTTAAATGCCTTTCGGTGAATATATTTTTGCAATGAATCTTTATGAAAGAAAACAAGTTAATTTCGAAAAAAAACATTTTAAATGATTTTAAAATTTAAAAATATTTTCTCTAAAAATACTTTAAATTTTTTTAAATGAATTTTCAATCAAGCCTTAAATTGTTGATGAAGAATGATGGATGTAACTGTCCAATCAGCTGGGCCCACGTCATCTTGGACATTCTAAATACAAGTGGAAAAGACCATAGTAACCCTTGTGTGACGAATAAAGAAGAATACTCCAGAACATGGTAAGTACGGATTACACGTACATTTGGTAAAGGTACAGTACACAATTCTGTGGATACCACAGAGAATCACTGCCTGAACACGTCCGACAGCGACCCAGCGAGTTGACACGTCAACTGCAGCAGTGTCGGCGGAAATCTAAATTTGTATTTTTTTTGTGAAAATCTATGTTATGAAGCTCCAAACTTCGAAATTGGGTAGTAAAAGAGGAAGGGAAGATCCTTGGAAAAATGAAAACTTGCCATTTCCAAAGGTAATTTCAGCTACGGACAGGGGTAGAAACGGAAAAGAATTAAAAAAGGCGAAGTCACTTACCAGATATCGCCGGAAAGTCGACTGTATCTTCACTGCGGCGAGATGGCGGCGGACGGTTGAAGGCGCCGCCGTGGGAAGGCTGACTTGCGAGGAGGTCCCTGGTGGAGCGCCATTAGTGAGGCGGACGACCTCAGCCGCCGCATGAGCCGCCGCGAGAGCAGCCTCAGCGACTGCGGCCGTAGCGGCTGCTACGGCTATGGCATGCTCGTTGGCGTCCAGGCCCGCCCATTCCTGAGCAGCAGGTGATGACGTGGAGGCGCCGGGCTTGTGCTTGTTAGACCCAGAAGTAGTAGTCTTTTGACTCTTTTCCTTAGTGGTGTGCTTGTTCGTCGGAGACGGGTTGTTTTTGGGCCGTTTGGGGCCGAAGAGTCGCCGGAAAAATCCCATTTCTCATTGCAGTGGAAAGAAGAAGCACATGGGACGACGGAGTTGGGGAATTTGTGGGGGGTGCGTGAGGGAGAAGCCAAAAGCCAAAAGCAGAAATAAGGAGTGTTGGAGTGACAAGGGAGTGAGTGATGGAGATGAAAGCAAAGATTGTGGACGAGTGTTTGGGGTTTTGAAGAATTTTAAGAGTGGGGGAGGCGGACAAGGATGAGCTTTGTCGCACAGTTGGGTGGGCCCGGCGCATTTAAAATGCAAAATACAAAGAACTTTTGGAGTGTCTACAATATTCGTGTTGGGCTTTCCTCCTGGGTTTTACATCTCTAGTTGGGCTACAATATGCACATTGATCCATTTGTTAAATGTTGAGCAAATTTCAACTCTGCCATCTAAAGGCAAAATGAGTTTTTAACAACGGGATGACTCGTAGAGGCATTTTAACTGCCCTCTCGCCATTATCGTGCGTTCACCAGCACTAGAAATCGAACTCAGAACGAGCTATGTGGAGGGGCCACCCCGTGGTGCTTGCTTTACACGTAGACTTCAACTGACAAACATATCGACAACTATGTAGTTGAATTATGGTTAATCAATACAACGATAGTCAATATACTTGTCGATATTTGATGGTCAGACTAAGTCTGCCCCAAGTGTTCTCTTCTGAAAACTTGCAGTTTTTAGTTGGAGAATTACAACTAAAACAAAAACAGAAAAATGAAAGGATAAATGGAGAAATTATCATATGAAGAGTGCCTCTTCAAAATTATATTTAGAAACCAAAAATAGGCATTTCAGACATTTGAGACTCTACACTATACAACATAGTTTAACAGAGGAGCTCTGAAGTGCTCTATCTGCCGTTTAAAAATAAAAATTAAAAAAAAATCCCAAAGGACGAAGGAGTTTGGACATCGGGATCCATAGCCTACAGAAAACCTCCAAAAAAAACATGAACAGTTGAGTGTCAACAAGATGGTAGGGCGGAGTTAGGATTTTTTTCTTGGATAGGTTGGCTGAAATTAGTAGCATAAAATTATATTTGCTTATATCAAATTATATAATAATCAAATAAAAGAACTACACCGAATATAAACTATTTTCTAAATCATAACCCTAATTGATAAATTCAAAGACCATATAAATAGTTAACCTACTAATTAAATCAAGAATAAGTAAATAAAGAGATTTACAGCATACCAAATGTGATATTCATTAGAAAATCGCAGAGGAAAGTAAGGAAATGTGAAAATAGGGATCTAATTGTGGATTTAAAAAAAAAAAATTTATTTTCTTCAGTAAGAAGCACATAGGCTAAATCGCATGTGATAAATGATATTTTTCCTTTATGAATAGGACAAAGGAGGACGAGAGATATAACTAATTTATAATTTGTAGCATAAAACGTATTATTGATTACCTATCCTCTGCTATATATACATTAAATAATGACATGTATTGAATAGTGTTATTCACACTAATGAATAGTGCTATTCACACTAATGAATAGTGTTATTCACACACTTATTTTTACCTCTAACACACCCTTATTAATTTTTTTCCATTAATCATCTTCAATTCATTCGATCTGACATCCGAAAATTGAGAAGGATGTGTGAGAAGTAAAAATGAATGTATGGATAACACTACTTTTACAGAAAACCTTCCTGGGCTACAACTCACCTTAGCCTTGTGGGTGGCTCCGCCATCATCTACCTGCAGTAGTTGAGAATGACCACGTGAATCGTGTTCGTTCGAAAAGAACATGTTAGGATCAGTTTGTTGGTTTATCACCAGTTTTAGCTTGTTCGTGCATGCACTGAACGACCCGCTTCGTTTCAAAGTTGTACAAACCCTGTGTAAGGAACATCGAAAGATCCAAACTGGCTAACAAGACATGAACATAAAAGCTTGAGCATACAATGGCGGACTTTTGTAGGGATGCATCTATATTCTGAATTCTTAGTGTACTAGAGTACTTGCCATTTGCAGTCAGTGCTACTTGAAGTGAAAGCTTGAGCATCCTCAGGCTTTAATGTCAAGATGATATAAAAGGGCGACACCGATCCAACAAGGCTCCCCGCATTGCAAGAGTCAAGGAAATGTCTATTTTACACAGTCCTACTCTTACTTTGCCAATAGGCTATTTCTATGACTCGAAGACCTTTCAGTAACAAAGAAACGACATTTTCATTGCGCAAAGTTTTGCCCTCAATGTCAAGATGATATACCCATATAAGTAGACTTATAGTCATATGTTCTCGATAAGGTCATATATTGTTGTCATTATTATCGGAGTAGAATTCAAAAACTTCTTGTTCCTCAAAGTTGAAACATTTTTCCCATTTTATTCAACAACATTAGGCTCTCTCTCTGATCCCCATATCATCACAGATGAGAGCATACATTCGAGGGAAGAAAAAAGGAAAAAAGACAACATAAGCAAAATGATGAAACTTCAACATTATGCCCTTGGCAGCATCGTAGTAGCGCATCAGTTGGTGTCTGCAAAAGGGATTAAAGTATAAAACGATATTAATTAATCCTACAAATTGTAATTAATGTACGATGATCAATTAAACATATACTTTTAGTTGACTAACCACAAGTGAGGGGGGAGAGATTGCACTGGGCGGGGAGGCGAGCGGCGACCCTGACGGCGTTGCAAATGCATTCAGGATGGACGGCTTGGAGCGCGCTACAACAATCAGAGCTCGGGTTGGTGTTGGTGGAGCCAGGCACCACAAAAGGTGCACACACATTTAGGCTGCTCAGCTCGGCCGAGCAACTGCCGCCCTGAGCATCAGCCTTCTGAGTATGCACTGAGAGGCTCAGGGCAATCAACAACACAAGGATTGTAGCAGCTTGGAAGCAGCTGAAAGAGTTGATAAGATACTTGAAGGATGCCATGATTACCACTCCACCGTTTGTGTTATAAGGTAATTAATACTAATTGTATGGATTAAGATTTCTGATTAACTATGGATTATCTTGTAGGATAATCAAGTCCATTTATAGGTGGCAATTGGGCAAGGAAGAGGTGGCTTCATGTATGAATCACCTAATTACTGCTGGTTAGATGAACAATTTCGTGTAGGGGAAAATCATGTAGGTCTCATGACCCAGTTAAATTTTGTTATTTTTTAAGATACAAACGCTTGTTAGAGTATGAAATTCACAAATGATGCATCAGGTGTTATGTATTAGACCAATTAGATAGTGTAGTAAACACTTGAAATCATGCTACACCGCTCAATGTGTAAATGTGCCACTTAATGATCGACAATGATAGTTTTTCCATTTGTTCGTATTGAACATGTGTTCGCACAACATCTCAATTGTTAGATTGTAATATAAAATCAGCTGCTGGTCTGAGAAAATTGAGATTTGGATAGAACCCTTCCATTATATGAAAAATCAGCTGCTTTCGGCTGGAAGAGCAAATGCCTTGCAAAGAGAATCATGAATTTTAAGTACCAAACAGAGCAAAACAAAATGCCAATGCTAGGAGGAAGATTCATCTTCAGCTGCAGCAGGAACTGTCCAATACTTTTTCACGGTGAACAGCAGTTTTTCCCTCTCGTGAGGACCGTCTTCGTAGTCTACAATCCGACTGTCCCATTCCATGCCGTTGATAATGCTTGATCTTCACCAACACATCTACATCATCTCAAATGATCACGCTCCCATCTAGCCTCAGAATTCTGTCCATCTCCAGCAAAATGTCATCTGCATTGCATCTGCAACTCGACTGTGACACACATTGGTACATTTTACTAATTGTCACACACAAATAACTAATGCACGTAAAGCTTAGCAAATGTTTTTTAAACATTTGAAGTATATTATGAGTTTCAGGTTTACCTATCCTGATACAGGCTAAACACTGAATCAGCATGAATGAAGTCATAAGTTCTTGGATATGTAGACATTGCTTCACACCTGCAAAAGTAATACAACTCCGAGTGTGTTAGCCGGCCTTGAAATATTTATATATGTCATAAAAAATGTATGATAAAATGTTATTGGATTTACCAATTCTGATATGTTCCAATCAGTCCTCGTTCGTAGATGGTTCCTAGTGTGTTAGCCTTAACTTCCACCGGAACGACATTCATGACCCAGACAGGCAGATCAACTACGGCAGCAGCAAATCCACCCAGTTGTGCATTCATGTCCAAAATGTTTTTGTACCTTCCAGGGTTTCCGAGCTGATTATTCACCGATTCATAATACGAAACCCTCTTCTTCCACAGCTCCGAATCTTGCTTAAAAACATCAGCCGTCACACCTTCCACAGCTCCCTTGCTAATCCTTGGCGGGATTGCATTGAGCCTATGTGGCCAGTTTGCCAATTTTCCTCCTGCAACTTCTTCATTATCTGAAACTTCTGGCAATGGGGTCAAACAAGTCTCCAACTTTGTGTACCTGCATTTTTTACAAGAAAAAGAAATAGATGAGTTTAAGGAAATAGTTCTATGTTTTTCTGTGCACGACACTAATCTTAATAAAACCGTAACATTTATGACTTTAAAAGACAAAACTAAAGTGAACACATACCAAGCCGTATCAGGATCATTGGAGGAGCAGAAATTGCGAGCCTTGCCGAGCTTACGGTTGTTTTCGCAACTCAAATGGTTGGTTGGTTTTAGCCAAATGGCAATGTCGTCCTTTTCCACCAACTTTTTCCAGCAAAGGCCCTCGGCTATATCCTCTATGGAAGTCTGCTCCTCATTCAAATCCTCTTTGGTTCTTTCCCAACCCTTCCAATATTTTGCCCAGAGGATCGGTGGGCCCGATAGAATCCAGTACCCGCCCGGTCGCAGAACTCAATCCACCTCCGTTAAGTAAATCCCGTCTGTTCCAATTCAAAATGTACAAAATTAGGCGGACATGTAATAATTAATTCACGGGTTATAATATAAGCCGATGACCACTGGCGGATCCATGTAGGGACTTGAGGGGTCCCGGGACCCTTCGGAAGCTCGAAGAAACACTTGTGATCGACCTTCGGGACCCTTCAACAATTTGGGCAAGTGCAGTGGAGAGGCTTGTTGCCTCCACGGATGTGCAGGCAACAGTGCTTATAACAAAGAAAAAGAAGAGGTTTTTAATTTTTGTTTTAAAAGACGTAGCCAAAACGACAACATTTTTTAGCCTAGTCATTATAAAAAATTTAAAAACTAAAATATCTCTGTTTTCTCGTCTAAGAACCCCGATCTTTTCCAATATCCCTAAATTATATTTAAGAACTCCTAACCCCAATCGTCGCAACCTTCTAACTTTAAACCCAAGTTACCCTATTCCCCACCCACCATTTGCCGTTCCACCGCCTTTAGCTACCTAATTTAATTTCTTCCAAATTCATATAAGTTTTTTAATCCTAGACTCTAGCCCCAACTCTCAATTAATAAGATATATCTTACATTAGTAAATTTTATCTTTGTAGAGTCACTAATTGCATTATGTTGCTGTTTGGACCCGATTTTACACATCGGCCTAAGCAATCGAAGCCGTTGAGTAAGCATGGTTCTCAACCGTTGGATAAGAAAGTTTAGATATTATTGTTAAGAGATAATATTATGATTTTTAATCGTAATAATTATTTTTTTAATAAGCTATCTCGGTTTTTATGCAAAATAAATGGGATGGAGGCAAGTAGAGTTGTGATGGGGAAGTGAGCTTTGAATCAGGTTGGTTTGTTTTGCTGGACATGCATGCATGGGATGTAAAGATAATGAAGTGATAAGGGATAAATCCAAACATGCCAAAACGTGTAATTTGCAAAAGAATTGTGCAATATGGAGATTCTATCCTAATGCATGGTTTTTTGGGATTGGTTTTGTGCACGTGGCATGCGACAATGGAGATGATGGTTTTGCATGGTGATGGCAATATGGGTTTAAAGGTTTCTCATGTTTTTTAATAAGAAGCCTAGGTGGTTTAGATCTCTAGTGAGATGTGATAAAGCCTAGGTAGGCTTTATTTATCTGAACGATATGTGCGGCGTATTTGATACGGGATCAGGGTTTATCTGAAGGATATGCGCGTCATATTTGATACGGGATCAAGGTCAATTCCACAAAATAGAGTTACACTTGGACTCTACAAAATTATTTGGCCGCGTCACACAACATTTGCTCCTATAAATACAGAGCACTGTGGAAGCAACCGGTGATATCTTAAGTCGGCATAGATAGCTCTGTCACCGTAGAGTCGGTCGGTCTCGCAGTATCTTCCGTTGGCATCAACAGCACTGCGGCGAGAACGGTCGATTGCCTATCCAAGTCTCGGTCGAGAAGGGTTTTCGAATCCTTGTTGGTCGAGGTCATCTCATTAGCCTTCTCGGCGAGGTGAGGTGTTACAGTTATTACATTCGGCACATTGTAAGCCGAATTCGGTTCGTGAACTTTGTAAGAAATAGCAGCCTTGTCTTCAGGCTCGAGAACCCAAGAGGCCGAGACGCGTTCCTTTCTCGGCCGCAATCGCAAGACGCAGAAGTCAGTAGCGCGACCCAACGCAGCATCATCAAATTTACTCCTCGGCCGAGCCTCGGCCGACGAGTGGCACGCCCCGCAATCACCGAAGGACGTAGTTAGCTTAGAATATATTCGGCCTGCGCGCCACGTAGGCTTTGTAATTTCTAGGGTCAACATTTTGGCACGCCCAGTGGGACCAGTGCTATACTACGAAGTTCATATGATATATCAAGATTCCAATCTGGCTCAACGTAGCCGATTGTACGAGCTCCTGGAGGAATTGAAAAAACATAATGAGGAATGTAAAAAATCTTTGGAAGCAGAAAAAGTCCTTCGTGGCCGTAGAGAGATGCAAAAGTCATTCGCTTGCATGTTGAAAATGAAAGCTCCTGTTATACTACAAGGGCAATGGGTAAATGAAGACAAGGCTCGATTTAATGCCTGGCTAGATGAAGAAAATTTTCCTTATGTTTCTGATTACAGATCAATTCCATTTGAAAAATGGTTAGGCCCAAAGTCCGGGGGGGGCAATTTTTCGCTCCGGCCGTAATCAGACATCGGCCTAAGAAAATTGTTAATTTGGCCGAAGAACAAAGGCCACTTATTTTTTCGGTCGAGGCTGAAAATATGGTCGGCCAAGAAGAAAAACCTAGGCCACCTATTTTTTCGGTCGAGACTGAAAGTGTGGTAGGCCTAGAAGAAAAAGTTAAAGTTTCTGAGCCACAAATCGACTCAAAAAATGATTCGCCAGAAAAGTGCTCCAATGACGAACAAGGCCGAGACATAGGCCTAGCCAGAAAAAACCACGCCAATCGATATGATTATTAGTGATGAGGCCGATATAGAGAAATTCCATTCGGCCAAGTTATTTGGGTTAAAAGCCGAAATTGGCGAAATTATTATGCCTGGGGGGCATAATAATTGTTCAACATATTCGGCAGCCGAAAGTGGGAAATATTTCGCCAAGTCAAAAATATTTGGAGAAAATTCTTTATTTGACTCAAGGCGAACTCAATTTCAAAATTTCGTTATTACCAGATCTCAGCTTGGAATAAAGCATCGTTGGCCTCCTCCACTTTATGGTTCGGCCACTTTGGTTTTCTTTTGCTAAAAAAAAAAAAAAATAGAATAAAAAATAAGAATTTATTTTCTTCACCATTCGGCTATTCAGCCGATGCTTAAGAAGATGGTATAATTGGCGTTGCTGAGCTGCCAGTTTTCTCAATAGGCCGAGCTATCATGAATAAGAATATATTTCTTAACCATTCGGCTGATCAGCCGATGCTCAAGGAAATAAAGGGGGTAACAAGATGGTGCGGCAATTCAAAATATGGTGTGTTCGGCTTAAAAGGTTGTTTCTTTAGTCAAGCCGAGAAAAGACGGACGTTTGCAGTTAGGCCTTCGCGTAGCCCGATCTTCACTCGACGAGAT